TGTATTCACAACTATGTATACACTTATACTTATTATCTTGTAAACAATTGGCAAATCAAATAAATAAAAAAATAAAAAAAATAAAATAAAAAAAAAATTCTTTCCTCAAGTGTCATCCTTTTGGATTTCTAGATCCAGATTCAACATTTTAGCAGAATCCAGTAGTGAACCAAATACATATTTGGGGTGAACAACTAATGGGAAGGCTAATAGGGTGTATTAAAAACGGAAGACTTGAATGATAAGAAATTAAATCATGAAAGATGCTCAAGAAGTTCCAAACTGAGCTGAATTTGGGGGTGCTTGAGTGTGGTTGCCGCTGGCCCATCTTAAATTACTGAGTCGGTGCTGTACATTTCTTTGTGTAACAGTAAAGAGTTTACTGGTTTTAATTTTTTGTGACTGTATTATATCATGGGTACTTAATGCTTATACATTTCAAGATCATTGTTGTACGCTGCTAAGAGTTCCTTGATTGTGATGGTTCAGAAATCCAGTACTGTATTTTCAAATCTTTTTCAGGGGAGGGGGGAAACTATGATGAAGTTAGGGGGAACAAAATTTGCTAAAGGTGCATTATAGAGCATGGAGGATTATTAGTATAAAACTAATGTTTTTTTAAGATACTACTTCTTTCTCTTTACAGAATTCATCATGTATTGTTTTTGCTGCCAGACATGCAAGTGCTTCTAGTGTAAGTTGTTTTTTCTTCTTCATTTTTTTGTAGGATGTGCAAAATTTGTTGGTTAACTATTTGAATCTTGACTATACCCAGAATCATTCTAAATTGGTGACTGCATTATTGGCACCAAGACACATGTTTGGTGTCAGTATATATTCTTTTCAAATTCAGTAGTTCCTTCCCATTGTCAATAAATTTCAGGAGATAGAGGAATAGTTTGCAAACTCATAACACGTTTCACCATTTATGTTTATGATGAGAATTCATAGTAGAACCATAAATACAGTGTTGTAGTTACTGGAGAAGGAAGAAGTGATAGTTTTTCATGTTGATTTTTAAGTTAGAAAGACTTCAGAAGCATTCCCATGGCTAGGCAAGAATGTAGTTTTGTTTATAAAGTTGTGTATTTCCATTGAAATGCTAAACCAATTGTTTTAACATATGATACCACTGATAGTCCATGTCATTTTAAGTTGCATCCAAGAAAACCAATGGAAAAAGAAAAAAGGATCAGAATACTTATAACTGTATGAATAGAAAATAGTCTCCAATCTCATCTCCTTTTGTGCTCAGGTGAAACAAGATGAGCAAAAATTGTACCAAATCACTAAATCTTTAAAAAATTAAATCAAGATTTTTGATTTCACCTTTATCAGCAAGATTATGAAACCATTAGATTAAAGCATAGGCAATTTGGTAGAACAACAAAATTGTAAATGTGAAAAATTTGAAAATGTGATCTGAAGCGAGGAAAAGGATAGAAACAACAAAAGAGATTGTGGAACGTACCAAGTGAACCAGATATCATGGTATGAGGACAAAACTTTTGTTGGTGTAAATTGCACCTAGGATTACTATAAAATAGACATAAAACAAATATGAGCAATATTTTATTTCATATGTCTACTTTTTCTCTCGTATCACTTTTCTAGGTTGGTTTTCTATCATTGACTTGTAGTTGATTTGTGATATATAACAGTAGACATTATTTTATTTTCAGAATCTGAAAGATGTTCTTGCAAATATGATACCCAAAGAACAAGCAAGACTTAAAAGCTTCAGACAACAACATGGCAATACTGTCATTGGACAAATCACTGTAGATATGGTAAGTTTCATTGCTATACAAGCAAGAGTGGAGAATACATCAATGTGCAATCAGCCTGTAGTCTGCAGGAAGTGAAAATTGTTATGATGGTACGTTGCTAGATACCTACTCTGTGTTCCAGACATTAGTATCAAGTATGGATTAAAAAAAATAGAAAATGTTTGAGTACGTGGGGAAAAAAGGAATAAGATTCAGATCCAACTGTAAGATTACATAAGAGCTCCAGAATCAGCTTGAGTGACTCAAGTGAAAAGCTGGCAAGAATCAGGACTAGAATTAACCTCTCTCTGGGATCATGGAGAACTGCTTAGGATTTGTTTCACATTGGTCTGCATTACATAGAAACAATTTTCTTTATATTTGAATGACAACAACTCTTGTTCTTGTCTCCTAGAATAGAGTGAGGCTCTTGACTTGGAACCTGCTGGTGGTGGTGGATTGATTTTAATCAAGGATGTGTCCACCTCTTTCTTCAGAGATAAGAAAAATATTTGATTCTGAACAGAAAATTATATCAGGCAGTTCAGAATCTTCAACCTGCATACATTTGATAAATTAAAGCCATTGCTTAATATATCTTCCCTGATTTATTCTGAAATGTGCATTATTTTCGTAATATGCGTCTGCTTATGAAGGAGGTACCATAACTACCGTGTTTCTCATAAAATAAGGCCGGGTCTTTTTTTTTTTTTTTTTTTGAGCCCTGAAAAAACGGATAGGATGTCTTTTCAGGAGTGACTTAATTTCTTCCCCCACGCGCACTCACCTCTCCATGAGGTCGCCACTGGAAGCTCCCCAAAGGTAGAGTCACCAGCCGCTTCTATTGGCTGGTAGAAGCGGCCTCAGGGCGAGTACCCACACGCACTCACCTTGCCACAAAGCTGTTTCTATCAGCTGATGGAAGCTCCCCAAAGGCAGAGTCACCAGCCGCTTTGGGGTGAGGCGTGGCTGCCCGCAGGGCTCTCCTGAGAGGAGCGCCCCATGCGCACTCTCCTCGAGGCCGTTTCTATCGGCCGATGGAAGCTCCCAAAAGGCAGAGTCACCAGCCGCTTCCATCGGCTGATAGAAACGGCTTCGTGGCGAGGGGAGTGCGCGTGGGAGAGTGGCTGCAAACTTTTCTTAGCAGAAGGGAAGCAAGCTGAGTTTCTCTCTCTCTCTCTCTCTCTCTCTCTCTCTCTCTCTCTCTCACACACACACACACACACACACACACACACACACACCACCCCTGCTAGCCCTCATCCCTGCACCGGGTCAGCCAAGCCCTTCTGGTGAGGGAAGGTCTCAGCATCTGCGGGGTTCCCACCGCCGCCCTCCCCTCCCCAGGCCAGACCTTTTCCGGGCACCCTGCCAAAGTCCCAGGGCAGCTGATCTCCCTTTACTTGCTGCCGCCGCTGGTTTGGGGAGCGGGAGGGGGCCGCTGGAGAGGGAAGAAGAGGCAGCAGAGCTTGGCTACCCTTAGAAGGGAGATCGGGCGGGCTCCCGAAAGGAGACATGGGAGCGGTCCTCATGGGAATGCGGCGGGGAAGCGGGGTGAGTGTGAAAGGGTCGCCGCGGCGGCACAGGAGGGCAGGAGGGAACTGGAGTGAAGAAGGGCCAGGGAGAAGCTAAACCGTCCTTTCTATTGCTCTGGTGAGGGCCGAATATTTGCAGGGGCTGGTTGGAAAGGCCTAATTTTAGTATGAACCTTGAGTCGTGGGGGTCGGAGTTGAATGGCGAAGGCACTCTGCACATGATCCGAGGCAATCCTGCCACAGCTCACGGGTGGCACTGCTAACAGTTGGGGGGAGTCTGAGAACTTCAGCAACGCCTCCTTTTCTTTCTCTCTCTCTCTCTCTCTCTCTCTCTCTCTCTCTCTCTCAGCGCCTGAAAGAACACCCATCATTAACCAATTAACCAACACCAGCCTCGGAATCCCTTATTTCAGCATAATTCGGGATGAGAGAGGAGCCATAAAACCAGGGACTTGGTGCGAGGTGCAGGTTCTTTTTTTTTTTTTTTGAGTTCAATCACGAGACATTTCTGGATTTCATCGGACGTCCGAGGTGTTCAGAAGAACTTTTGAAAAACTTGCGGGTCTAACTTTGAAAAGCAATGAGTTCAGTCCTCTCAAATGGCAGAGGTTAGGGACAGTCTTTGGAGACATCCCCTCTCCTTTAGCTGAGGGAGACCTGGGCGATTTTTGGCCAAAACTGCCCCGGAGAGATTGATCAGAGAATGGACAGGAAAGCAAAACAAGAACACATTTGGGCTAAGGCCTTTTCTCCCATTCCCTCCGTCGCAATCTCACAATTTTTATCCAGACACAGATACGTGTGTGTTTTCTCTCCTGCCCCGCTGGTAGATTCAAATAAAATTAATGCGCGCTCCCCTCACCACGAGGCCGTTTCTATCAGCCGATGGAAGTCCCCAAAGGCAGACTCACCAGCCGCCTCTACCGGCCGATAGAAGCGGCTGGTGACTCTGCCTTTGGGGAGCTTCCATCGGCCAATAGAAATGGCCTCATGGCGAGGGGAGTGCGCACAAGCGCTCGCCCTGAGGCCGCTTCTATCAGCCGATAGAAGCAGCTGGTGACTCTGCCTTTGGGGAGCTTCCATTGGCCGATAGAAACGGCCTCGTGGCGCATGGGCACTCGCCCCAAGGTCGCTTCTACTGGCTGATCGAAGCGGCTGGTGACTCTGCCTTCGGGGAGCCTCTATCGGCTGATGTTCTATCGGTAGTAGATCGGGGTATTCTAGCCTAGGCTAACTGCAGGGCACTCCTAAAGCCAAGTTTTCTCCCCACCCCCCCACCCTTCCCTCCCATTTCTTTTCACCTCGTGTAGTTCTTACGAATAATGTGAGAAATGGCGGGGAAACGCATGGTTTAAATAGGCCTAAATTTTGGGGGCAGGGCTTAATTTCACCTCATGCCTAGAAATCATGCTGGGCCTTCCTGTTGGTGGAGGCCGTATTCTTGCAGAAACATGGTACCATTACCTAGACTTCAATCCTTGGAAATCTTAGTCACCTTCTGTTTTATAAAACTTCTATTCATATATGTACTGATACTTTCCATCATATATCTACAGTTCTAAATGTCTACATGCTCACATCTACGGTAGGTCATATCGGCAATAAATTAGAAGCTGAGTACTGCCTTAAATCACAGATATTGGTTGTGGTGACTGTTTCAGCTTTGGTTTAATTTCCTGCTTTAGCTTAAGATTCAAACAGTAACAGCTGATACTTCTTCACATCTAAATATCAAATCAAATGTTGCTTCCCTAACCCATGAGTTCCAATTTCCTGTAATAAATTGCATTTTCTCCTTGTTGGAAACACTCATGTGCATTCATTTTGGTTGCATATCTTAGGCTTGTTTATCCACTAGGTCTGGGCCTTCAGATAAAGTTGCAATCCTTAGGGGATTTACATATTGTTCTATGCACAAAGTAGCTAGTTTTAATGATCTCTGTCTGGACCAAAGCACATGTATTTGTTCCAGGAAGAGGCAGCTCAGAAAATGAGGAAAAAACTTTAGGACATCAGCATTAGTGGTTAAGCGAATAGGGAAAGGAAGGAACTGAGAAGATTAGCAAGCAGGCTAGTACACAGGCCCAGGTGTAGGAGAACGTGACACATGAGCCCCCAAAGCCTTGCCCTAATCATGTGGTAAGTCACCTCCAGATTTTGTTTTGACCAAAGCCTGAAGCAACCAAAATGTTCCCGGTTTTGGTCCTGCCAAACTGGAGCCCGAACTCTTTGCAGAACTGTGAAACTCCTTGCAGTCAAGGGAGGACATGTTTTCTGCATGATGCACTTTGCTAGCAGGCACCTAGTTTACTATTCCTCATCTCTAGACAGGCTTTTTCCTCATTACAAAAATCACTTTAGGTTGAGAAGAGGCAACAGCCTTCAGTGTAAATGTCTGGGTCAGTTTCTGTGTTCACATGGGCACAAGATAAAACGGATGAGTTCCTCACATAAAAAATAAGAAGATAAATTGGTGTGGTAGGATTGTACTGGTAGATAGGAGGAGTCATCTGGAGACAGGAAAACATGATAAAAAACAGGGTAGTGTTTTATAGTTGTGCATTTTGTCTTTATTCTGTTTCTGTTTCTTTAAAATTGTATGTGACTGATTATTGATTCACTTGTGTATGTCTTTTCTGAGTGTTTTCTTTTTCTGAAGTAGGTGCTTTGTTGTGCTTTAGGGAGAAAAGGGTGAGATTTGACATTGGGCTCAGGTCCCAGTTCTGTCTTGACCAGCTTGTTTTTCTCTGATTACGTAAATGAATCAGTAAATTAAGTCTTGAAGTTAAAAAAATATGTTTAAGAAAATGACTTTAGAGTCTTCTCCTCTACATTTGTTTGGCTTTTAGAATTTTTTTTCCTGAATTAGCATGCTTATCCTCCCCTGCAGTTATTTTATGGGAGCCTTGGTGGCATGCTGTCAAACTTCCAAAAGCTTATAATCCCAGGCCAAGGAGGAATAGCAACGTATTCTTGTAGCATTCCACTTCCTCTCCCAAAAAATGCCATGGGAAGGAGAGGTACAAAAAAAGTGAGAATGTGGGGAACTAGCTAGAGAGGGCTCTAGAGGAAACATACTACAGTATCAGAATTCTTTTCAGTTAGGATTCAGGCCCAGTCAGAGGACAGAAATTGTATTGTTCATTCTAGTACATGACCTTCGCTATGACTTTGAATGGTGGAGTGCCTCTTACCTAATCCTATTAGATCTTTTCACAGCATTCAGTATCACCATCAAACACATCTTGTTTGGACCATATATAAGAGTTGAAGACTCAATTTTGACAATTCTCCTCCTTTCTGAATAGACAATTCTACTCAGTGGTGCTGGGGGTGGAGGGGTGGGGAGAAAATGCTCAAGCCCTTGGGTCCTCTGGTATGATACCCCACAAGGCTCAAGCCTTTCCTCTGTGCTATTTAACATCTTTATAACATTGCTGGAAGAGGACAGCTGGTGCCGTGATGCCATGAGTATGCCGAAGACATTTAGCCCTTCCATCATCATCTCAGATTGTGCCAGAGATGGTATAGAAGTCCTGACTCGATGACTGGAATCTGTGAGGAACTTCAGTTATGCCCCTCCAAGATGGAGCTGCTGTTTGCCCATAAACATTAGAGCACAGTGCTAAGATTGAGCCTAGGATTACTCTGGAGGGAGGTCATGCTTGTGAAGGAGGTCATCTTTGACTAGGGGAGCCAACTGGATTTCTGGCTTCTGATTAAGCAGCAGGTGGAAGCAGTGGCTAGGGGAGCTTTCACCCAATTTATGCACCGCTTAATCCTACTTAGATCAGGGTGCCCTGGTGAGGGTAACTCATACTTTGATTGCTACTCAGTTGGAACATTCTTAATATGCTCTATGTGCCTTTGGAAATGACCCAGAAGTGCAACGGATGCAAAACACAGTGACAAGAATGCCAATGGGAGAATCCCATAAATCTACAGTAACATCTCAATAAAGTTGACATACTGGTTACCAGTAGGCTCCCAGGCTCAATTACATCAGGCAGCAGGTTGCTAGAACAAAATTTGTCCATGTGAAGATTCATGTAAAGAAGGTCTTCTAAAAGTCCCCCTCTCCTACAAGGTTCATTGGGTATAAACAAGATAGGAGGCCATTTCCATAGTAGCCGTTTTGTGTATTGCAAGGTTTTGTATTCCCTACCTCCATAAATACATGTAGCCCCTACACTCTTTGCTGTTCAAAAGCAAATGGCAAGTATCCTCTGGCTTAAGCTGAATGGGGGAGGTCAAGATACCTTCATGTTTTTCTGATGTTTGTTGTTTTAATTTGAATCTATTTGCTCATTGCCCAGAGTCCTTGGTGATTAAGAAAGCTCAGAAATACTGACAGATAAAAGAAATAAATGCTGACATTACTGTCCCAAGGTCTAGTTTTTCTTGTTCAGCTTTCCTCAAGCCATTCCATGCTAATGAGGATAATTATGTCTCTTATTATTCACTCCAAGTATATCCGTGACAGTTTGGCTTAAAGAAAGTTGTAGTTGAAACATCCAGAGAGTACCAGCTTGAGAAAGTTATTTATAGAAGCCTTTGGAAAAAGTTTAGGAAATTTCATTTTCTGACATTGTGCACAGTAGTTGATGTTAAAGTTTAACTAGTCAGGAAAAGCCTAGTCATGATTAAGCATGCAGCAATGTCGCTGATTTTATTTGTAACCCAGTTCTAAAGTGTGGAGCTGCAAAATAGTTTTCTTGATTTCTACTAACTTCCTAGGCTGTACTGAACTGTGTTTTTAATTAATCTCATTAGTTGCTTTTAAACTGATGTCCTGTGTAATCTAGTGCAAACTGGATGTGAAATATTTTAGTAGGTTTTCTGAGTGCCAGTTGGAAAGCTAGCCTTGATTGAAGCTGCAGTCAAAAAGAGGATAGAAAGGGGGAAAATTAAGACAAATAGGAAGCAAGAGACACTATTAAAACTTATCACTGTTGTGTTTCAGAGTGCCAAAAGTAATGAAAAATGTGTAATAAAACTTGGGAATAATTCTCTACCAATTTTTCTATGATGCATAAAAAGTGAAATATATGCAAAAGTATGTCAACAAGCCAACTACAAATATGACTTAAATCACCTCAGATTGAATGGAAAAGGGGAATTTGGAGAAACTAGGAAGCCTGAAGACTTCTGTCAAATACTGTCCAGTCAGATATTTTGGGGGACAGACACAATCCAAGAAGGCAGTAATTTTTCTGCCTTCAGCATTTGTGTCAGCTAGAGAATTAAGTTGAAGGCAATTTTTTTCTTTGTTTTAAGTAACTCTCCTTGTTCTCCAGGTCTACGGTGGCATGAGAGGTATGAAAGGACTAATATACGAGACCTCTGTCTTGGATCCTGATGAGGTAAGAAGGGCAGAATTGGTGATATTACTTTTGTAATTAGCTCTTAGCCTCTCCGTTGAAATGTGGTTTCTTATCCTGCTTCTGGGATTGGTTTTTAGGGCATTCGTTTCCGTGGCTACAGCATTCCTGAGTGTCAGAAGCTGCTACCCAAAGCCCCTGGCGGTGCAGAGCCTCTTCCTGAAGGGCTGTTTTGGTTACTGGTGACAGGAGAAATTCCTACCCAAGAACAGGTAATAAGACATGGCAAAGATTGCTGTCATCTCAATGTAAACCGCTTCAAACTTGATTGCAGAAAGTACGACTTCCGCAACAGTGGTCAATGCCTGGAATGCACTACCTGACTCTGTTGTTACATCCTCTAACCCCCCACTCCTTTAACCTCAAACTAATCACTATTGACCTCACCCATTCCTAAAAGGTCTGTAAGGGGCATGCATAAGTTCACCATCGTGCCTCCCATCCCTGTTCTATTGTCCCCCTTTATTCGTACCTATTTCCTGTATTCTTACTCATGTTTATACTTATATCTATTATCTTGTAAGCGATTGACAAATCAAATAAATAGATAAATAAAATAAGTGTTCATCCCATTTAAGTGATCTGCACAGTGATTGTGCAACCTTTTTTGTGTCTGGAGAACTGCTGGGGAAAACAATAAGAGCTCTTATTGTATAAGAGCCAAGATCATGGAAGACTGGTGTTAGATAGCACTTTCCCCCCCTAGCTATAGATGTGCAACGTTGTTGTTTTCTTTACTCAGGTGACTTGGGTGTCTCGAGAGTGGGCTAAGAGAGCAGCCCTGCCTTCCCATGTAGTGACTATGCTTGACAACTTCCCCACCAACCTTCATCCCATGTCACAACTCAGTGCTGCTGTCACAGCTCTCAACAGCGAGAGCACTTTTGCCCGCGCCTACTCTGAGGGAATTAGCCGGACCAAGTACTGGGAGGTAAGCTACAAACAGCAAGCTTTCCACAAGTGTCGGTAGAAGAGGTTATAGAAATGACTTCCAGCTTGGCGCTGTTATGAATGTGTGTACCTCTACCGTGGCAGGATTTTCTTCACCATTTGATTGTGCTACCTAGAATTAAAAACCAGAGTTACATGTTGGAAATTGTATGCATGTATGTATAAACAGAAAATGCAAAAATGAATGGTCTTGGCTGTGCCATAGAACAATTATAGTTCACAGTGCACTCACTGTCTTGTACTTGTTTTTCTCTGCACTTCTTTTTAAGGCTGAAAATATAAGACTGCCTGTTAAAATGTAGAAACTGGAGTAACTACCTTTTGATAGTTTTTGTTGGTCAAAGCTTTATTGTGCTCTTACAACTAACTAAAGTA